TGATTATTCTTTTTTTTATTAAAATCTCTCCTAACTAATGCTGTAAACTATACTGGGAACACTCTCATTTGGTACATTGCTGTTATAGCCTATTAAAGGTTAAAATGAATAACAGAGCTATTATATTCAACTGCTATTTATTTTCAGATATAATTACACTCAAATAAAAACTGAATTGTCTATATACAACTAAATTGCACATAACGTTTTCATAAACAACTGTCTTCATGTCAGATTTGTCAGAGAATGAGCTCCTCTTTAGTGTTTTTTGTAGCTAACTGAGTGGAAGAGACTCATACTCCACGCTGTCGCTTGAACTAAGCCACATTTAAAAGCGTCAAAACAGCATTTATTGTTTGAATTTCGAGACAGAATTTGGAAAAATTAGACTTTGTTTCTTATCACAAGTAACAAAGCACAAAACTCTTTGTGATTATTGGATGGGAGGTGCATTGTTTGGTTTTGAGAGAAAAAAAAAGCATGGATCTGGCAAACCCTGGCTTGAACTACGGGTGATTCATTGGGTCAAATAGAGCCTGCTTTAAAGTTGTGACAGCCCTAGATTCAACACGGTAGATTTTCTTCACACACTGTATAACTTGCAGTCTGACACGTTTTGACCCCATCCTTTTGATTGACAGGATATAATTGGCCCTGATCATTAGCTGTTTTTAATCAATCGGCCGTTGGCCGGTAGTAAAAAAAAATAGCTTTTATTGGCCAATACATTGGTGCATCTCTGCTTGTAATCAAAAACATTAACATCCCCTCCTTGCAACAAAATCTCACATGCCGCAATTAGCAAACGACAATGATCCAGTCCATCACAGTTGTACAAAATCTTGCCCTTTTTTTTTTCTTGTTTGAGAAGTGGCTTTACTCAGATATGCATCTCTAAGAAAGAAAAGATGACTGCAATATCTCTTTCATGCTGATTTTAAATAGCACAAGTTAAAGCACATGATATGTTTGCACATTTGTTTTTGAAAATGTATATTAATTGATTGTCTGCCTCTTGACCCTTCCCACAGTGTTCAAGTCAAACCTTAGTGAGATGGATTGGGTGCTGAAACGCTCCGGTCCCACAGACTATGACAGCAGCAGTGGTTGTATGTTGCGTCTAAGAGGACTGCCGTTCGGCTGCAGTAAAGAAGAAATTGTACAGTTCTTTTCAGGTACATCTGTTGTTTCACTTCAACACCTCCTAGACTTGCAGGTATTGCAAGGACATCTTTTTAAAACTACTGAAAATTTTTTGTGGTTTTTGAATCATGTCAGTTCTTCCTTTTTATGTCTTTATATAGTCAGTCAGATCAAATTGTGAAGGTTTTTCTTTTTATATATTCTTCTAACTGTCATATCAACAGATTATTAAGGATGTTTTGGTTGTATTTAACAATTTATATGTCACCAGCATCACAGAGGCAGCTGTGCTATGATTTCTTGATTAATTGATTTTAATTTCATGGATTTATCCTTTGTGGTTTGCTCTAGGGTTTTTGTCTGACATAGGGAATGATTTTGGCATCATCAGGGCTCATTTGGGGGGGGATGTATTTTCTGCAGATGAGAATGTTGCGGCTCTTTAACATGTCTCCCCATGTGGGGTTATTTGTCCTTGGGTTAAAGGGTTGAAAATCGTGCCAAATGGGATAACATTGCCGATGGACTACCAGGGGAGGAGCACAGGGGAAGCCTTCGTGCAGTTTGCCTCAAAGGAGATAGCAGAAAAGGCTCTGGGGAAACACAAGGAAAGAATAGGGCACAGGTGGGGCTGGCAAGACTGGGCTGGGTGCTAATGCTCTCTGCAAATGTGGGGTGGGGGGTCATGCATCTTTCTGCTCTGGAAAAAGATGGTATGATCATGTTATTACACTTGCAATGTTTAATTTTACATAAACATGTGACATGAGGGGACAAAAAATAGGCAGAAATATGGTTTCATGATGTGGTTGGGCAACATACTGCAGAAGCAAAGGAGCCTTTTTATAACAGGCACTATACGATACTTTTAAGATTCTGTTTCTGTCTGAAATTGGCCTTTAGATACAGTTACATTTTATGACTGGGCAGAATTTCAGACACTTGCTACTTCTCCCTCTGGTCAATAACTGACAGTAAATTGTCAGTTATTGTGATGCCATAATGAATTTAGTCAGTAGGCCCCAAATACTGTCTTCCCTAAAATCTTCTTCATTGCTGTTAAACATTTAGCAGCCTGTACGTTTAACATGTTGCATTTAAAAATAAACTCAGGTACATAGAGATATTCAAAAGCAGCCGAAATGAAATGCGTGCATACTACGAAGTACCTCGGAGGATGATGGGACAGAGGCCTAGTCCATATGACAGACCCGTGATGGGACGCGGGAGCTTCTTTGGGTCCAGTCCTGGAAGGGGAGGTGCCGTCCTGGACCAGGTGCGCAGCGGAGGCGCTTACAGTGGCGGTATGCTACTTTAATAGTGCTTAGTAACTTTATTAACGCTTACTGGGTTTTAGTTAATAAGATAGATAGCTAATTAACAAATATGGGGTTGAATGGCTATGTACACTACCGTTCAAAAGTTTGGGCTCAGAAGGATTTTTATTTATTTTTTTAATGGAAATAATACTTTTACACTGCAGGGGTGCATTCAATTGATCAAAAGTGACAGTAAAGATATTTATAATGTTATAAAAGATTTCTATTTGTAAATAAATGCGAATTCATCAAATAATCATTAAAAATATATTACCCTTTCCACAAAAATATTAAGTATTATAGTACAAAATGCAAATCTCTTGAGCAGCAAATCAGCATATTAGAATGATTTCTGAAGGGTCATGTGACACTAAATACTGAAGTAATGGCTACTGAAAATTTTGCTTTAAATAGTAATAATATGTCACAGTATTGCTACTTTTTACAGTATTTTGATCAAATAAATATTGCCTTGGTTAGCATAAGTTTTCCCTAAAAAAAAATAAAAAATCTTACTGATCTCAAACTTTTGAACAGTTCTTTCACTGACAGGAAGTGATCTAAAAGTATTGATTTGTCTCTCCTTCGTAAGGATATGGTGGGTTTGACAACTACAATGGCTTTAACAACTACTGCTTTAGTAACGGCATGTTTGAAGAGCGTGCGCGCGATGATAGAGGAAAAGGAAGAATGGGGGGTCATGGCTACAGCAGCGATTCAAACTCAGGCTTTCACAGTGGCCATTTTGTTCATATGAGGGGCCTACCGTTCCGCGCTACAGAGACAGATATCGCACATGTAAGAAAAACCACAGTGTTGCCACTGCACACATTCTTACAATATTTTGTTTTACAGTAAAGTATTATTGCCTTTGTGTGAGTGTTTGGTTTCTTTTTCAGTTCTTTGCCCCTTTAAATCCTGTGAGGGTGCACATTGATGTAGGACCTAATGGAAAGTCTACAGGAGAGGCAGATGTTGAGTTCAGATTTCACGAAGATGCTGTGTCTGCCATGTCAAAAGACAAGAATCATATGCGTAAGTTGTCTCCATTTCCAAACCTCTGTCTTAGTCAAACTGTACTGCTATCCTAATTTTCTTTTTTTTTTTGAGTATCATATTTATCCTTCCACTGACTTCCTCCCTGCAGAGCATCGTTACATTGAGCTTTTCCTGAATTCAACTTCAAGTGGGCCGTCCGAAATGGGTTAGTATGACTGCGTGGATTGTTATTATGTAATAGTTTTGTTGAAGAAGGTGTGAAGACAACATTCAAATCCATGTCTTTTGTTTTGGGGGCATAAAAACACTGCAGGCCGCGGAGGAGGATTCTATGGCAACTCTGGCGGTATGGGCTCTCGAGGAAGTGGACTAAGGGGGATGTATTGAGGATGCTTAAAATTCATGCACTTTTCAACCCAAAGTTGGAACTTCCAGCATGGAAGATCTTTTTATATGAATATGTTTTCACATGTTCCTATGAAATATGCCCACAATATTTTCCAGACTCGAAGAAAATTAAATCTAAATTCATATATATATCTAACATATATATTTGAGCTGTTGCATATAGATTGACCGGCTACTGTACATTTTGCTTAATGAATTTTATATGACATTCTGTGTTAAAGTCTAACTAAAGAGATGCGCTTTGTATGTATTTTGACTCAAAAATGAGTGTGAATAGCTTGAAGCTCAAGTTGCGTGTGAGACTGCACTTTCGTTTTCTTTCCCAAAGCAATAACATCATTTTGGATGTTTACCTGTTTTTGCTGCTCATTTCAATTTCTAATTGAAACCGGTGACATTTACACATCCATGGAATAAAACCTTTTATGGATATATTTTATTTTTGACCTAAGAATGTTCATTGATGACAACTGTAATGTAAGAATAAAGTGTGATATCTTGCTTTTGGTCAAAGCTAGATGAAACATTTGGCATCAGTCCATTCATATATTGTTTTTTTTAATACACCGGAAGATTTGCGTAGCCTTGAGTTTCGTTCATTACCGTTTAAAACTTGAGGATCAGTAGGATTTAAAAAATGTTTTGGCTGCATTTTATTTGATCAAAAATACTATAAAACGGTAATGTTATGAAATAACAATTTAAATATTGTTACAGTTTAAATAATAAAACGTATTTTAAATGGATTTATTCCTGTGATGGCAAAGCTGAATTTTTAGCAGCCATTACTTCAGTCTTCAGTGTCACATGATCCTTCAGAAACCATTCTAATATTCTTATGTGCTCAAGAAGCATTTCTTGTTTTTATGAATGTTGAAAACAGTTGCGCTGCCCAACATTCAATCTTCCACATGCATTCTGTCATCTGATATATCTCATATATATATATATATAAAAAGCAGGAAAAATGAAATCTTTCCTGATTTTTATAAAGTAACCTTACTATTAACTTTTACCGTATATTTAAAATTTTATATTATCTAGATGAACGATTACTGGACTGAAGCAACTTAGGTTTACTTAGAAGAGTTACGTGTTTGCTGAATAAAACAATTTCTTTCAAAACAAATCTTACTGACCCCAAACCTTTGAACGATAGTGTGCGTGTACTGCGACACCTAAATGCTAAAATCCATCACTCGAGAAGTGGAACTATAATCAACTTTAGTGGTTTAAGGCTATGTATAGTTTCATACATAAAATTTAAGTTAACAGCTGTATTTCGAGTAATTATCCAGACAAACGGTAGCACAAATACTCAAAATGTGTAGTGTTCCAGTTCTGTACCAAGGTAAATCTGCAATTGTGAAATAATACCGTTTGCAGACAAGAAACCTGAACACCATATTCAGAACATTATTTCTGTGCTTTTTGAAGTGAATCCACCTCTCTGACAACAATTTACTTGCATATACATACCGTTTTTGCCCATCTAGATTCAGGGAAACATTTCAAATCCTTATTTGTCAGTTTGGCTTGTTATACAGGCACATATGAATGTAAGGTTATGTATTTCAACTGAATTTGAAATGTAATTGCTCAAGAAAAGATATCCCTTTAAGTAACTGCCTTTGCTTACTTTTGAATCTTGAGGAATGAAACCTGTTCACCCTTATATATCTAAAGTATACAATGCATGGGAGTGTTGTACTAGTACTGTATAAATAATCTAAATCAGTCTACTTGCAGCCCAGATGGAGGCACTCAGTCATTAATCCATTTGTAAACTCATTTCTTTCATTGCACACTCTGTGACAAACACTGCATTGGCCATCTGCACAAGTGCCATTAAGTCTTCTGAGGCAACAGGCTTTATCCTATGTAAATTGTAAACTTCAAACACAGAGAAACGGGTGCATCCATTTTGGTCACTCTGACGATGCGGGACAGCACAGGCTGCGAGTTAAAGCTGATTTTGGCCCTTGTTACGATGTGCTGTCATTTCTATCTTACGTGGCATTGGAGGAGCAGCGCTGGAGGAGCAGAGCGTGGCAGGTGTCGCAGACTCTCACGGGTTTGGGTGAAGCAGGGAGCGGCAGCTCATTATCCGAGCAGGCATTGCAGAAGATCTCTCCACAGTTCCTGCAGTGGTGCTGTTCAAACAAAGACAAGCAAGAGAGCTTTCAAGATGCTTGGCATGGATGCAGATATGAATGTCGGTTTGCAGTTAATTTTATGAGAAGGGGCGGGGTTTAGGCAGATTAAATCGGTGTCCCAATTCAGGGCTGCATCCTTAGAAGTCCACAAAGATCGAACTGAATGTTGTTAAATGGAAAATTCTAGCCTACAGAAGATTGTTCTTGTCGCCTAGCAACTGACCGCTGCATTTACTAGAGGACTTTTATGAAAGTAATATTCAACTGTCTGAAAACAAACCAGGGTTCACAACCGGTCTAAATATGTTTACCTTGGTCCATTATATACTTAAAAAAAAAGAATAAACTACCAATAAAATCACATCTTGGTAAGATATGTCAACATTTTAACCGCTTTAAAAAATTATTATTTTTTTTTTTTACATTTGTATCATTAGATACTTGAGCAAGTTAACACCAAATATTAACATTTAAAAAAAGTGTTGTAATCTGCCATTTTGAAAGTCCTGTCATCTGTCTAGGCCAGGCCGTGTTGCATCCTTTGTAGATCGGGAAATAAAGGACTTAATTCAAGGTCGCATTTGAGACTTTGAAATGGGACAGCTTTGTCGCACCACTGTGACGCATTCTGTTTTGGAATGCTGCTTTCGAAGGATGCAGCCTCTGAATTGGAACACAGCTTAAATGTCTGGAGAGGTCTGGCATACGTCACCAGAAAGAAGTATGTCGTTTCACTGGAGGATCGAGTAATGACATTTTAATTAAATATTGGGATGTCCCAAAAAAATTAAACATGTATGGATGATAGATCCTTCACAGTAAGATCAATAACATGCATTTAGAAAAGTTTTCATTTCATGCCGACTTCAACAGTACAGAGCACCACTTGCCAACTCAGTCTTTTATTCAGGCGTCATCTAATCCTCATTTGGAAATGTTTTCAAGTCTTAAATCCAGTACGGTCTTTGTGCCAGTGAATTTCTTTATTTAGAGCAGTTGAATTTGTGTGGATGTGTGAGATTGGACAGCAAGCTGTGATAGAGACAGATGTATTACAGCGTAGCAATTTGGTTCTGACCTTTCTCCTGGAGATTGAAAATTCCTTCTCACAAAGCTTGCAATGCGTAGCATCTTTGTCCTTCAGCCAAACCTGTCCACCCTGAAATCAATTGTTTATTAATATGAACAAGTTAAATTACTCTTACAAAAAAATATATACTGTATATCATGGTACATGTCCACAAACATGTTCCAGGTACTTTTTTGTTGATCTCAAACAATGTTTCAAACCTGAAGTGCCTTGTTGGCTTCCTTTATATCTTCGATTTTCAACTTTGACCTAAACAAGAAAAATGTGTGTATCAGTAAAAGAATAACATGATTTGAAGGCTTCCAAATGTCACTTATATATAAATCCTACATACTCGCTGAGTTTGCAGCCCAGCTCCTCCAGCGCCTGTTCCTGCTCTTCACAAACTCCCTTCAGCTGCGTATTCTCATCCTGCAACCTGTGAAACTCCTGATAAGACACAAGGGCACGTCAGAGCCCAAGACAGGATGTTTGCATTCAGCACAACGAAAACATCCATGAAGAAGCCGTTTAAATGACACAAACACCTTAATCCTCATACAGATGTATTGTGGACTTAATGGTTATTATATTTCTCTCCCTCGCCATTGTTGAGATGAGAAACTCATCTTACTTTTTTGAGTCCGTTGATTTGCTGTGCTTCAGCAGTAAGTTGTGCGATGGTCTCTCGTTCTCTTTCTAATTCATTCTGTAACGTCTGCCGCCAGTCCCTCTCTATTTTCATGTCTGTTTCCAGCTGCATCCTAAACAAGAAGTGTCAATTAAAATCTACTTCCTATTTTCCACACCAGCATAAATGGGACATTGTGATACAAATTTTAAAATTCGAATTCTCTTCCATAGCCGTTGCAAAACTTACATTTGTTTCTCTCTCTGGGCAATCTGCTTTTGGAGACTGTCAGCTTTGTTTGTGAAGTCCTGCTTGAATTTGCGCACCCCGTCTTCGGCACCGGCACGTTCCCTCTCGGCATCCTGCAATCTGGTGTAATTCAAACCAACTGGGTAAAACTACGGCTCTGAATGGAATGGAATGGGCGGGAATGTATTGGAACAAATGGGAAACAAAATAAAAAGATGGCCATAATTCAACAGCCACAATAGAGCGGGAACAAATACAGAGCCGGAAAAGCAAGAAAGTTGAAAAGAGTTGGCAATTTCATAAGTGTCGAGGTTACTTTGATTTTCTAACGTTTTTTGACAAATAATTCACAGAGTAAACACTGACGAGTAGTTGAAAACATCAAATTTATTGAAGTCTGTGATAAAAGACAACATCATATTTGTGGTTTCTTTGACTGTTAAACGTTACAGGTAAATATTTACGCTAGAGAACCACAAGAAAGATTTGCTCACTAAATAGTATGTGGAAAAACAGTAA